AAAAAAAAAAAGAGAGAGAGAGAGAGAGAAATAGCCAACAACACTGGAGTTCACCCAATATGTTAAGAAACTAACATTCTATGTGACATTTAAAGACAAATCATCGTCAGCTTCGGAGGAACACTCGTTCGGTGCAATTACATGGATGGATGGGAAGCACAAAGTTTGTAGTCCATTTGCTGTGAGGAGAAGGGGAAGGGATGGGTGTAATTAACTAGTGAAGCTTGTATGATCAAAATAAAGAAGCAAGGATTTCATAAGTATGAATAAAAGCATATGTTTGCTTGGAATAATTTCTTAAAATAAAATAACAAGAGTTGTCAATTACATAAAATTGTCATAAACTTGGCCTTGTCATATTGTGAGCTGCTCATGAATTTTAATAGCTTCTCGCGCTACTATCTAATCTGTAAAATGCATCCTTTAGGTAATAATTTTCCATTGTAGTGTTATAGCACAAAATTTTTAATACATAGGAAATTTGCAATTGACTTAGTGTTAAGCAGGGAAATAGAATTCGTAAATGCAGAGGATATTGCAATTGATTTGATTGTTAAGTACATAAAAAGAAAATGAATGGGATTAAATAGTCAATGTTGCGGGTGAGGAGGGTTCGAGGGAAAATTATGATATGAAAGGATGAAGTGAGGCGTGACATTTTGGAATTGTTGATAAATGAAGACATCATTCGCGTACAAAAATAATTGTTTAACATAAACTGCTCTGCGACTAAAAATGCGACAAAACTCTCGATTGACCAAACTGTTCACCAAATATCTGCATATTCGTCACCTATCTATTGCATAGTTTATCACATAGTTTTATGCACTTCCTCAAATAACTTTGTCGATTTGTCACATAGTATATCGCATAATGGGATCGCACTTGCTCAATTATCTTCCTATGTTTGTCGCATAGTTTATCGCATAATTATTCCACATTTGCTGGGGTGAAAAAATTAACTTATGAATTGATGGTGTGAGAAATTTAGTATATCTTCATAGTGGTTGAAAATAGATATATTTCACTTATGAGTTTCTCCCTAGTTTCTGGGTTGCTTTGTTAAGGATCAACTCTTTTAGATGAAGGGTTATGTACTAGAAAGCCAAGGAACTTACCACTGTCCCTGTGAAAAATCTCCACCTGCTCGTATTGTAAATTGTAGTTGATTTTTGTATCTATAAGAATCATGTTATCCTTACATGGCATCAAATATTACGGAGTCCAGCATTGGATAATGTGATTCATCTTTTAAGAGTTGTAATGTAATTAAAATTATAGTTCTCTCTCTGTGATGTTTGCTGTATGACAAAGAATTGATATACTCGCGTTGCAGCATATGTCATGACTGATTGTCATCTAAACAATTTACTGATTCCGCCCAACACTCAGGATGATTTATCTGGAGTTCATTGTTTCTCCCAAAACAACGCTTCCTTGTAATATATTCTGAAAATTTTCAAAAACAAAAGGGTAACCATAGTAGTTAGCTGGTTACAATAAATCAACGTCAACATTTCTGCAAGAATAAATAGCAATTGCAGATGGCCAAGGCATAGCTGACGCATTTCTACAAGAATAAATAGCAGTTGCAGATGGCCAAGGCATAGTATGAGACATTACCTGCAAATTTATATCAAGGCCTAGTAACAAGTACTATGTCTCAAAGTATGTATTCACTTAATTAATTGGATTTCCACTTCTCAACTGAATAATGGACTAAATATGAAACATCAATGGAATTTCTCCTAGTAGACGATACAATGACAAAATAGCCCAAGGATATAAATCCCCTCCATTAAGTAGAACGCTTCAACACAAAATTTGAAACATTAACAAATCTCAATTTAACAAAAATCACATCATCTCATTCAGATGACTATTTACTTCAAAAGCTTCAAACTGTGAGCATCATACTCAAGAAGCCAAAATAACACTTTCATGGTCATCAAATTTGGGGTGTGTTTGTGTGTGTGTACCTGCTATCAACAAGATTTCTCATATTCTACTAGCGCAGAAATCTTTCACCCTTTGTACACAAGCAAACAAGCACAATCAAATAAATCATTGGAGACCAACAACTAAATAGGTAATATGTTTCTTCACAACACCGTGGATAATCCTTCCAGAAGGACACACATGAACAAAAGAGCAAAACAATTGTACGTGAAGGTAAATCCAGTTCAGCGCAAAGCAATCCTTAAAATTCACGTCATAAAGAAGTCAAGATAATTTAATATTTCAGCCATCATTAAAATAACTTAACCAAAAGATCATTCATTTCAACAGATCTATTCGAAGGCCCACTGGTTCTCTCTCCGGACTTCCTCTTCCTCCTCAGGCGTGAAATCATTCTTGATGTTGAACGTCTTGCGAATCTCCTCAGGTGTCTTTCCTTTGATCATGTCAGCAACAGTCTGACAGGTCAGGTCCAAAAGACTCTTGATGTTCAGGTAATTTGCAGCCTGTGAAAAATGAAAATGCCAAGAAAAGCTTAAAGTTATTAAAATGCAATAAAGTAGAATGTTTTAATGTCAATCACCAAATGCTGTGATTTACACCATTATCAACAGGTGGAGATTAAAAAAAAAAAATCACTAAATGGACCATATGACAATGCTAATACACCATAATATCACACTTATTCCCTCACATGCCAGTAATTAGATGGGTGCCTACCTTCAAGACTGAACTTTAATCATGTCGTGCATGCATCAATATTACAAAGTCACAACTCCAATGTACTTTGAATTTTGACTATCAAATGAAGGATATAACCGTCATATAAATAGGCAGATAAGCACTCCACTGAGAATATAATGCACTGTAACTCCAATTTCAAAAACCAAATCGACCATATACCCAAAAACTATGCAGTGTATTTTACACAAACAATATGCAGTGTTTTCTGCTCCAAAGAACCATTTAATTAGATAAATTTTTGCCAAGTAAAAAAAACTTTCAAAAAGAATAGCATACACCAGCAAGCTTAAACCAGTATCTTATCATCATTCAGCCGATTAGCCTTTGCTTGTTAAAAGGTAACTCTATAGAACTAGTTCGATATGTTTAGCTTGAAATTTTGTTTGATTCATTGATGCACCCGAGTCTATGCAAGTTAAGTGAAACCAATTGGTAGTCCCAACTTTTACCACAGAACAGTGAAAATGAACAATCATAACAGTGAACAAACAACCACAGCAGTGAAAAGAACCTAATCGGTAATGTTAACGTTTACCAAAGAGGTACATGGTCTATGATCATACACGTGAGAATCCACATCTCAAGCATGCCAGTAGTCAGAGTACACACATACACGGAATGCTACATTACATAATAGGAGCAGCAGAACAAGCAAAAAAGTAACTGCCACAATGTCCATCAGACGCAAGCAAAATAAACTCATAATAATCATATACTCAAACAATTAGATGTCCAGGAGCTGCAGCAAAGTTATCATAGATCTAATGTTATCATAGATCAGAACACAATAAAACAATTAAGTAAGTAATGCTGAAAAGAAAATATTGAGGTAAAATTTAGACTCAATAAATCAACAAAGAACGATAAAATAAATGTTTAGCCACAATAAAGGTAAATGTCAATATAGGACAATAGAAGCCAAACTTCAACATCATCCGAAGGCAACAAATCCACAAAAATAGTGACATCTACCGGAGCTGAAAACTTAACGAGAAACGACTAAGATAAATCTCAACCTTTAGGTTCGAACAAAAACCCTAACGCTCAATTGGTAACTTAATCCGGAGAAAAACCAACACTAACACCTGCAATCAACAAAGATAAGCTGGAAAGTAATAGAACACGTACCAAAATAAGATCAAAGAGCGTGGCCTGGTCCACTTTGACAAAATCCGCGTCGAAATTCTTGAGATCGTCATCAGGGGAAGGTTTGTCGTCCGCCTTGGTGGCAGAGGCGGCGGCCGCGTCCACGTGGCGCTTGCAGTACTCGATCACCTTCGAGAGGATCTTACCGGTGACGTTAGGGAGAGGGATAACGTTGTCGGCGCACTCGTCCTCAATCATGTGCTTAATAGTCTGAGACTCGACAGCAACCGCCTCTTCCACCTCGAAAACCTCGCCATCAGAGCTCCTCAGAGTTATCTTCTTGCTTCCGTTCTCCGCCGCAGAAGACGACATCATCACGACGATTCGAAGATTTGTTAGGTTTGTGTGAACTTAAGAGGGATAGGGAGCAGCCGAACGGGTTTGCCCTTTCGATTTTTATAGACTTCACAGTACTAAACTAATGGCCGTGTTTGTATAGGAGTTGGGAAAAAAAATACCATTTAAAAAAAAAAAAACAAAAACAAAAAATATGTAAAAATATCAATTTAAAACTTTATGATTGTTAAATAAATAAATAAATTGAATCTAAATAAAATAAAAATAGATAAATTATCATCAATTTTTTTCTATTGCATCCGATTATAAAAACATAAACCTACCTCTTGGAATTGGAATGAGTTTGGCAGCGCAGTATATGTGTTGACGTGTGTTTGTGCCAACGGGGCCATCGAGATGATGATGTGGTATTTTAACATTTTTAGGGTGGATTTTGAGGTGTTTATGACATAAAGTAAAGATGAGTATGTGGCTAGTTTTGTCGACGAATTAAGGCGCCTACATCAGCGATATATTATCAATCGGATGGGCCGCTCCCAGGCCTCTTTTGTACAAACCTCCGAAAGGCTGAAAGCAACTGGAAATCAACAGAAAGAAGTGAAAGCTTCGAAATGAAGAAAGATTGCAGAACTTTTAGTATGTATTTACTGATGTAAGAAACTGGTATTCTCTAAGACTTCTGGACCCCTCCTTTGAAAGAGGGGGAGGCCTTTAAAATGTTATTTCTTCAGGATATGTGGCGGCATCTCATTGGATGTACAGTGACACATCTTCAACAAGTTGAGAAGTTTATCTTTTTAAGACGGTGGGAACTGGTTCAAGGATGCAACCCTTTTCACACTAGCTTAAGACCGAACTCGGAAGGGATGGGATCGGCAGGAGGATAGCCTTCCTTGTGAGAGTGATCGAATTTTTTATCTTGTAGCTGGGAAAGAGGTCGACTGGTTGGCGGTATCGACATCTTTCTTCTGGATTGTAATACTTATGGGCATGGAACTCTGAGAATGTTGCATGGGCTGGGCTGGAGATGGCGTTTAAATATTTTAGTTTGGAAAAAATTGAGTATCAACATAAGACCCCCAGGTTCATAGGGCTAGGTGGGAACTCTGACTAGTCGTAGGAAGCTATGTATTCTTCTTTAAGTGGGATCGGCTTCAAGCGTCTGCGAGTAGGTACATGGAAAGGTCTTTTATAAAAAAAAGGAGGTAGCATCTTTTAAAATTCTGAGAATGGTAACTATGGCGACATGGGCGGCTGAATATGATGTCCTTCCAATAATGTCTTGCCACGTGCGGGTTAGTGAACTGTCAGGCATGTGAAGGGATGTCTTGAAACGTTTTGTCTTATTTAATTAATGTGGTTAGCATATCGAGAGTTTTTGATAGTCTTTATAAGAGAGTGTGATCTGTCTGTCTTAGCAAGAGTTTGGGTAGTTCTTTTTACTTCCTTCCTTTCTTCGATTTAGGGTGAATTCTTCGTGTATCTTTCTGAAAATCCTATTGCAGAGGGTGCCCTCAAGAGCTGCGTGAAGGAGAAGATGGCGTTGGGAGATGTCCAATGCTTTAACCCTACTCAGGATCCCACGTATAGTGACTTTTGTTCAGCGAGAAATCGGGGGGTCCTCCCACTTAAAAAACTTGCATCTTTCTCTCTACATTGATCAAGGGAGCTCAATATGAAGTAAATTTTCAAGAACTTCAAGAATCCTACACTACGTCAAATTTTGAATGACTAACCTTCCATGACAAATAGGAGTGAAAACTCCTAGCGGGATTATCATCGGTCCACGAGGTGCGAAGAGCAACCTTTTTTACGCATTGACAGTCCAGGGAGCTCGAGATGAAAGACATTTTTTCAGAAATTTTCCTCCACGATGCAAAGCTTCAAGAAAGAAGAAATGATTTTGGGATTAGGGTTGGATTCTGATTTTGGAGCTCGTTTGCAATTAGAATTTATTTAAATTATTCAAAAAAAAAATGACATGGAAATAATTTTGGAGTCCACGTCAGGTAATCGATCGGAAATCGGTCCACATCTGCCTAGTCGACGCCAAAATTTGCCAACTCAGCAAATTCTTATCGGATTCCGGCGACCGAGATCGAAATTGGACTAATTTGACTAAATATTGGAAGTTTTTGGACCACTTTTAAATCGGCCTAAATTACTGGAAATTACAATTTTTTCTACGTTTTATATAATATTTTTAATAAATTAATATAAGCAAATTGCATTACGTTGTGATTCCATATTATTAATTTATAAATATTATTTAATAAGTATTTGTAATTTATAAATATTAATGAATATCTTCACTCATGCAATTGTACGAAATCCGTACTAATATTTTGTCAATAAGCAATGCATAATCGAAATGTTAAAACAAACAAACAAACAAACAATTTTACTAACAATACAATAGGCTGTGTAGAGTAAACGTCTCATGGAAACGTCTCTCATCGAGCATGAGTAACAGTACACAATTTGAACCCACTGTGCACGATTTCATTGTCGCTGTCTCATCGTGCATGAGTAAACGTCTCATTGAAGGGCAGCAGGATTTATTTACAAGTCTGTAATGTTTTTCTTCAATTATTCAACTAATTGCACTTATCTATATCAGTATAAAATAAGATATTTAATGGAGTGAGAAATTTTTTCATTACACATTCACATCTCAAGATCATGCACATATCTAATATATTGACTGTACCAATAAATGAGTAGCATTGCCCATCCAATTATGGGCAATGTTGGATCAAATTTTCTTTCTATTCATATGCAAATATAATTACTAGGAATGGGGTCCAACGATTAGAAAGCATATTAGCAACCCAGACATAATTAACTTTTATAGAGATTTTTGGTTAGATGGTGAATTCTTTAGATTTGAAATCAATTTTTGCAACTCCACATGTAACAAAACGAAATTAATTGTATTTCAGACATATGTATTTCAAACCTGGTTCTATTCAAATATATAGCAAAAGCGTGGATTTTCTGATTTAATCTCAATATTCGTCCTTGAGTTTTCTTTTCCTTTTTTTTTTTTTTTTTTTTTTTTTTTTCTTTTTGTTGTTGTTTTTNCATTTTAGTTAATCTAATCTAATCACGCTGTGCAGAGCACCGACAGTAATCACAATGTTGATTATGTTGCAGGACCCAATCACCTTTAGGAGGATTTTTTTGTCTTTTTTCCTAGGTAGACGGATAACGTCGTTGAAATTATTTCAAAACAATTTGTCTTTCCAAAGATATAATAATGAAAGAAAAGCAAAAGAAAATTCTCCATTGGCCTTTCAAAATTAAAATGTCTCCAACTATTTCAATTTACTAAGCATGAAAACACGCACACACAGAGCTATATCCGATGAAACAATTTAAGGATATTCAAACTGCATGACAATCCTGACATCCTGTTAAATACAAGGAAAAGAGGCAGTCTACACTGTACATATACTCTTGTCTGAAGCTTCATTCAACACTTTTTGTCTAAAAACTAATAACAAGTTAGTTTAGATCAACCTAACCAACTTCAGCTAAGACCCTCCAAAAGAATCATTCAGTTATCAGTATTCCATATGTTGAAGGGAAGGAGGATCAGTCCATGTCTTGTGAGCACCTGCAGGCTCAAACATTTCTGACTGAATTCATAATTTGCATCATAAGACAAAGTTTGGTGATCACGTAAAATACTACCTTTTAAGTTTATCCTAATTACTGAATGTAGGAAAGATTCCGAGGAGGTCATGGCAATTTTAAAATTTGAAAGGATATTTTCCACAATTAGGCTAAAGCATTTGTGGTAAATTTTACAAGGGTAAACAACTTTTTACTCCCAAATTATCACGAGTTTTGCACCTTGATATATCAACTATTTTTTTACAAACAGCCATACGACCTGCACATTTTTTTTTTTATTCACCGAAACCGGATTTATTAAGAATGGTTTTGGTTCAAATAGGTGGTTTGCATGGATATTTTGGTAATTACAATCATTCTAAAACAATATTTTAAGTGGAGATGAACAAAATGCAGTGTGAATCATGTTGTTTCTCGGAATTCAGTTAGTAGTAATGAAAATGCAGTGTGCAAGATTGTTATTATATATCCTTATATTTATCAAAAGGGAAAAGTTTTGTATATTATTTCTATGTATAGACTTCCTTATATTTACCAAAACACCTAAAATTCCACCCTTGTAGCTGAACCTTTAAACATTTAGAACTAANGCTTTCGACCGATTTTCAATTTTTATCCAGTTTAATACTCTTACTTCAATTATTTATTTTCATTATTGTTAGTTTGAATACCTTCCGCAAATCTTTTGACAATTAAATACTTTATCTTTCTCCAACTATTCGGAAGAAAATGTTAAAAAAAATGAAAGTTTTTCTTTTTTTATTTTATTGGGGAATTTAGCTCTTTCAAAAATCATCTTTTGCTAAAACTCGTGTTTCAAACTAAAATAAATGTTCATGTACAGGCTAAGAGGCACTAAATAATAAAGCAATTAACAGACTGAATGTACCTCGTAGCTCCACTTCCCTCCATTCTTGGACAAGTGCACAACAACAGCACATCAAATGTGACAAGAAATCGTCAAAACAACCGCCCTACATAGGTATTAGAATCAGTGCAACTGCACAGATAATAGTTATGTGCTAAAACTAAAAGCATATTCTGAAGTTCAGCAACCAAGAGAACGTGAATAATCTATGCACACCAATAATCTAGCTCATATGAAATCAAAGAGTGGGACTTCCGAAAAATCAACACTAACCCCCAAATCATAGTTATAACATTACCATTAAGGAGTTTTGCTGCATAATTCTGCTTAATTTGAAACTTGCTTCACATTGCACTTAGCATATGGAACGACTTTTTATTAAAAGGGTATAACAATATTGATAGCATCTTGCTTTTTTACCCTAAAAAGTGACCTCAGGTAATAGTCTAATTATAAAGGGAAAAAAACCAAGAAAATAAAAGGAATAAGAAACAAATGTCTTTCAAAATTACAAATACCCCTTGACCTCTATTTCTACTTTACAGTGGCTAAGATATACAGACCTCAAGGGCCTGAAATAACTTAAAGGTGTATTTTTAGTTTCAAATGCTAATTGAATTTTTTTTCTTTTACTTCGTAAGGGCAGCTATTGCGATAATCCATAATCTGCATTTTGGAGGACTGCAATTAACATTTACAGAAGAAATCAGTAAGAAGTACAAGAATGAGTTACCTTGATGTTAAGAGTCCGTCTGAGCTTTCCTCTGAGACAACATGTGTAGCAACAACATGATAGTATCAGTGAATATGCCATTATGTCATTACAAGTCTGGGCTGAAGCTGTTGTATTAAAAACCCTGCTCTGTTACTTCCCTTTACGAAAGTTTACAAAATTACCATTCCATTGCAATTTAATTATGGTTAATAATTTAAATACACATACATATTTCCTTGCCAGTTGCCACAGATGCTATCTTCGAAAGCGTATCGCAAGGACAAACGAAAGTCTTTATACCTGCAATTATAACATTTTGAGAATAACTAAGATCCTATTCACTAGAAGTATCCATGATAATACTTCAAATATAGTCAGATGTCTAGGTTCCCATCTAGAAATGTCATCCATGAACTAATCAAAAATGATATTAGCATGTGCCACAGTTAATTATAAATATATACCATGCTGAACCTCAAGAAATTTCATGCTTAAAAATCTTTACAATCATCACCAAACACAGAGCCTAAATATTCATCAGGGTTAGATAACTCGAAAATACCCAAGACAGAAATACTCGAGAGGGTATCACCGTATCAGATAACATATATGCTCATGAATGAGACCAACAATATAGCAGATAGGAGAGTCTGAGGAATATTATAACAAAATTGATACTGATTTGGGTAATTGGTAGATAACCTGACTAATTTTTTAAAAAGCAAGAGAGCCAAATTAAAAAGACCAAAAAGAGAAAGTAAGAGAGAAAACGCAAAATATCACACTACATTCTCACATAATTCCAGTACATGCGAACGAAACCATTGAAAAGAAAGAACATACACAAGTAAGGTTCAGAACAACAGCCAAGTAAATCCGCATGCCACTCGTCTCGCCCAGTCAACTCCTTGGTTGATGCTGTATCATAACTCGATGACTTCTTGACTTCCCTACTACATGCATAATAAAACAAGAGAAACAAAAATTACGTTTTGACAAGAATCCAGAATAAAAAACCAACCTTCCCTTTAATAAAATGTAAGAAAATGGAGAACAGATCGAATTATTGTTTAAAATTGCAAACAACCCCTCTGAGAATTGTTTCAAGGGTATTTTACTAAGTCCACTAGATAATCATTTCCTTCAGAGCCTATAGTAAGTGACGAACCTTGAACATTTCGAGTTATCAATTTTCTCACAATTCTTTTCACTTGAAAAATGCTCCTTGTCCGAATCTGATGTATACGAAGCCTTACATGGCATATCGTGCTCCTGCCCAGGAGTTGTTGCTGCATATTCAGTAACCTCCATCAGACGCTCGATTACCTGGCACTGGCTCACGTCCATGTTAGCCTGTGAGTGCTGGAGTTCGAGCTCAAGCTTCTTGCGTTCCTTCCTTAAGGCCTTGTCTACAGGCACATTCCCATAAGAACAAGACAAACTTTTTTTCAAGATTATCATGTCATTTTGGGAGAGGGCGTCTTGGACTTTCCTGTCGTCATCATCTAATGTGTACTCACGCTGGTCCCTCTCAATTTCTTCGAGCCTCTCCTAGACATTAAAAGAAATTCATGATTTTTATAAAGAAAATTCGAAATAAAATCGGGAAAATAGCTCGAGGCCATTCCCAGAAATAGTTATGTGCTCGATGCAGAACGAGAAATTAGTGGAGAAGGTCTAGTATCAGGTAGCCAAGGAATAACATATCCCAAAATAAGCACCAAACAATACCCTAAAACTGATGTTACTATAAGTGGGTTCATGTTAATTGTAATTGAATAATTTAGATACAAGAAACAGAGTAAAAATTGTTTCAACAAACAATCAATATCCATCTGGATCCCTTCATTCTGGAAATCAAATAATAGAGTTTTAGGGATTAAGGGTTAATAATCCACATAATAATCACGCAACACACAACCATGAAGACGACTTGAAGCATTTCCAGAATCTTCAAGGCCCCATTCACTTTTTTCACTTCATCATTCACAATCTAAAAAATAAATAATATTTTAAAAAAAGAAAAACCCATAAAAATCCAGTTAATTACCTTTACTCTAGCGTTGTCAATGAGAGCAATCAGCGGAATAATCCTCAAATACCGATCGATTTCCTCCTGAGCCCTCCTGAACTGATAGACTATATTCCAGCCCATGGCCATCAAGTAGAGATAGCTTCTTTCCTGGCAGCTGTTGACGAGAAGATAAGCCCTCCTCAGAGAATCCTCGAGCTGCTCCAATGGCTCCCTCGTCTCGGGGTACCTCTTCAGCTCCGTTATCTTCAGCTGCTCCAGCAAATTCCCAATCAATTTCACATGCTGCGAGAATTGTCTGCAGTTCTTCTTGTGCATTCTGGCCGTGTTCGCCGCCTTGGCTATAAGGCCGATCAATGCGACGGCGTTTAGGCCTGTCAACTGGATGACGTTCGCGACCTCCCCGAAATGCTCCCATGACGCCATTGTGGCGGCTACCAATGGCGAGCTCAAGAACCTGAAGAGAAGAAAGGGCCTCAAGGGGGGAAAAAAAAAAAAGGCTAACCGATTGCCATGGACAGATGGGCAATTGTTTGTTTGTCTCCAACTTCCTTTTTATTTTCTTCACTATAACATGAATAGGATTAAAATAGTTGGTAAGGGGGCATTGATTTCTGGAATTTGGGTTGAGGACAAGTGTTTGCAGAGGTGTCAATGCTCATTTCACCTTTCCTTTGCCATGAATAACTCACTAACCTCACCCACAGTGCACACCGGGTAAAGCTCAGTATAACAACCCACAATCCACATACTCCGATTTTAGACATTTGAAATAATACAAATTCATACATTTTTTAAATAAAAATGTATATTTATAGTATTAAATGTTATATTTTTTATTTTTTTATTCTTAAATAAGAATGCATATTTATAGTATTAAGTGTTTTATTTGTATTTTTTTATTTTTTATAGTATTAACTTTTAATTTTTAAAGTATGCACGTCTTTTGAAAAACGCGATTGCATTGTATGTACTTAAAAGTAACAGTAATATTGTGTAACAAGAGTTTGTGGTGGGGTGGTTTATTTATATAAAATAAAAAAAAATCTGNTTATATTTTTTTATTTAATTTTTATTAATTTATTTAAAAAAAAAAGAAAAACGGATTTTAAAAATCCGTTTTTCAGTTTTTTTTAAATGCATTTTTAAGTTTTTTTTAAAATAAATAAATAAAAAAAACAGATTATAAAAATAAAAAGAAATTATAAATGTATAAAACGGATTTCAATTTAAGTCAAATTAGTACAATCTCGGTCAATTATAGTGTAATCGACCTCGAATTAGTCCAATTGAAGTCAAATTAGTACAATCTCGGTCAATTATAGTGTAATCGACCTCGAATTAGTCCAATTGAAGTCAAACTAGTACAATCTCGGTCAATTATAGTGTAATCGAACTCGAATTACTCCAATTGAAGTCAAATTAGTCCAATTGAAGTCGAATTAGTACAATCTCGATAAATTATAGTGTAATCGACATCGAATTAGTCCAATTGAAGTCGAATTAGTACAATTGAAGTCAATTATAGTGTAACCGACCTCGAATTACTCCAATTGAAGTCAAATTAGTACAATCTCGGTCAATTATAGTGTAATCCACCTTGAATTAGACCAATTGAAGTCGAATTACACTATAATTGACTGAGATTGTACTAATTCGACTTCAATTGAACTAATTGAAGTCAAATTAGTACAAATCTCGGTCAATTATAGTGTAATCGAACTCGAATTAGTACAGTCTCGATCAATTATAGTGTAATCGAACTCGAATTAGTCCGATTGAAGTAAAATTAGTACAATTTCAATCAATTATAGTGTAATCGAACTCGAATTAGTCCAATTGAAGTCGAATTAGACACTATCGAGATTGTACTAATTTGACTTCAATTGGACTAATTTGACTTCAATTGGACTAATTCGAGTTCGATTACACTATAATTGACCGAGATTGTACTAATTCGACTTCAATTGGACTAATTCGAGGTCGATTACACTATAATTGACCGAGATTGTACTAATTCGACTTCAATTGGACTAATTCGAGTTCGATTACACTATAATTGACCGAGATTGTACTAATTTTACTTCAATTGGACTAATTTGACTTCAATTGGACTAATTCGAGTTCGATTACAATATAATTGACCGAGATTGTACTAATTCGACTACAATTGGACTAATTCAAGTTCGATTACACTATAATTGATCGAGATTGTACTAATTCGACTTCAATTGGACTAATTCGAGGTCGATTACACTATAATTGACCGAGATTGTACTAATTCGACTTCAATTGGACTAATTCGAGTTTGATTACACTATAATTGACCGAGATTGTACTAATTTGACTTCAATTGGACTAATTCGAGGTCGATTTCACTATAATTGACCGAGATTGTACACTATCAACTTCAATTGGACTAACTCGAGTTTGATTACACTATCGACCTCGAATTAGTCCAATTGAAGTCAAATTAGTACAATCTCGGTCAATTATAGTGTAATCGAACTCGAATTAGTCAATTGAAGTCAAATTAGTACAATCTCGGTCAATTCTAGTGTAATCGACCTTGAGTTAGTCCAATTGAAGTTGAATTAGTACAATCTCGGTCAATTATAGTGTAATCGAATTCGAATTAGTCAAATTAAAGTCGAATTACTACAATCTCGGTCAATTATAGTGTAATCGACCTCGAATTAGTCCAAATGAAATCAAATTAGTACAATCTCGGTCAATTATAGTCCAATTGAAGTCAAATTAGTACAATCTCGGTCAATTATAGTGTAATCGAACTCGAATTAGTCAATTGAAGTCAAATTAGTACAATCTCGGTCAATTATAGTGTAATCGATCTTGAGTTAGTCCAATTGAAGTTGAATTAGTACAATCTCGGTCAATTATAGTGTAATCGAATTCGAATTAGTCAAATTAAAGTCGAATTACTACAATCTCGGTCAATTATAGTGTAATCGTCCGTTATCTTTTAAAAAACAAAAAATTAAAATAAAAATTAAAAACGGATTTTGAAAATCCGTTTTTAAGTTTTTTTTTAATAAATAAAAAATAATTAATAATTAAAAACGGATTCTCAATATCTGTTTTTTAACAAAAAAAAAAAAAAATTAAAAAAATAAATAAAAACAGATTCTCAGAATCCGTGTTTCAATGAAAAACGGATTATGAGAATCCGGTTGTTTGAATTTTTTCCACAAACTTTTTTTTTTTGAATTATTTTTGTCTACGGATTTTTTGTTTATTTTATTTAAATAAATGATTCGTTTGTGGGGATTAATACAGTTAATCAGTTACTTGTGTATTCATCCAGGATTCATAAAAAAATATGATATGTTAATAGGGATGTAAATGGGTCGGGTCGGGTACGGGTTTTGGCAAACCCAAACTCGACACGCATATAAATTACCCTACCCAAACCCGACACCGTTACCCGGTTAGTGGTCTTCGGGTTTGGGTTGGGTTTTACCCGTCGTGTTAGTGGGTTTTCTTCGGGTAAATGGGTAACCCGAGTTCTTAAATTTTGGCTTTACACGACCCATCTCGTTTCATATGAAAAAATAAAATAAAATAATTTTACAATTAATTATAATGTAAAAAATAATTTATTAACTAAGTTTGACAATAAAAACTATAAAATAAAATATATTATTTTTGAAATAAATAATGAGATATAATTATTTAACTTTTATAGTCTATTTAATAATATAACATTTAAAAATTAAGTATTTAATTTTTTTATTGTACAATTAACAAAAAATGATAATAAAATCATAAAAAATATAATAAAACCATTAATCAAAATTATAATAAATAATCTTATTTTTAATATTAATAACACATGAATATTTTTATATTTATAATAAGTTATAAATATATATTTATATATAAAATTCAATGATTGCGGGTAAACGGGTAGGGTAATCGGGTCGGGTAACGGGTTTTTCTACTATACCAGCACCCAACCCGACCCGGGGTTCGGGTAGCATAATTCTACCCGACGCCAACCCGAAACCCGACCATCCCGGATTTACCCGACCCAAAAATGCGGGTAACCCGACCCTATGGATTTTATTGACATCCCCATATATTTAGGGCTTGTTTGGAAACACTTATTGAGAAGTCCATATCAAGATGGACTTTTTGAAAAGTGACTTCTCAAGAAGTTTTCAATATAAACTTCTTTGAAATGGACTTTTTGTGGGAGTTACTTTTTTAAAAGTCCATTTTGTTATCTACACCAAACATCTTTTTATATAGCAAATGGACTTTTATAGTCAAAAGTCCATTACAAAAGTGCATCCAAACATACACTAAGAATCTTGTTGCATGTAACTTGGATATTTTAAAACTTTTAAGAATTCTGAGGTTCAAATTTCTAAAAAATCATGAGATGTTCAATTGATTTATCACTTGTATTTGTCTAGATTTTGTATGACTTACTGAAATATTTCATTCCAAATCTCACCTCCACCTCCAAACATAAGATTCTAGGTATTTCTCTTAAATCTGAGAGTTTTAAAAATATTATTAGATCTAAAAAAGTATTAAAATATTTCTCAAAATCTCAATCGAATACATTCTTCATACTCTATAACATTATCTAAAATCTACAAATTTCATTATAATGTAGGTGTATTTGCATTATATAAATTTTTATACTAATTCTATCACTAAGTACATATTGNTGAAAAAAAAAAAAAAAAAATTCTCCAACATTTTTGTGTTGGTTTCACAAATTTCACAAGATGTTGATACAAAAATATAAGAGCCTCAATCTTTTTCATCTTGTTATAAGGTTATATTGATTTTTTTCAAATTGTCCGCTGACAATTTAACATTTCCACCTCATAAAGTGCGAAACGTTATGCGAATGGATCTGTCACACATATCCATTGTACTCAATATTTGAATGGAAAAATTAGTATCATTTTTTATAAATTGTCCAAATTCACTTATTAGATTTTGATTCTTTCTTCTTTTTTTCTCCTTTTCTTTTCCTAGGGTATTTGAAGAACGATCGCATCGCACGACTATTAGGTTTATTTGATTGTGGAAAATGGAACTAGTTGAAAACAATCGCCTATACAGCGTTTATTGATTTTGTAAAGTGGGGTTAATTTAATTTAATTTGTGCTACTTTTTGTTCGTGATTTAGTCGCTATCATGTGGTCATCTCACCGAGTAATGCAAGTCTATAAGTGCATATATATTAGTGTGCATGAGTGTCTGTGTTACATTTGGAAAGAAATTGACGTATAACGAAAACAAGTGGGCTTCACTATACTTTTTGCTTCAAGTATCCCAATTAATATTGATCTCAGCCTGAGCCAGTTAAATTATATTGGATATATGACAACAACAGATGGTAAAATTAGTCTTTGAGGTACCGGCAGTTCTAACTCAATTTGCATGCATTAATTAGTTAATGTTGAAGATGAGAAATTAGTCAGATAGAGTCACGGGAAATTCGTCAAGTAGAGTCACGGGCCAGCATCGAGAGGGGCCTTTGTGTACTTGTATAGTTATTCTAAGTATTTTTTTTTTAATGGAGTCCATGACATCATATTAGTATCATGTCAAAAATACAAATATGTTTGATATAACACCTATAATAACTCGTGTACCGATTAAAATAGTCAGCTCGAGGTAAACAGTCTAGAGCAATCTCAACTCTGTGACGGGACATGATCTCGTTAGGGATCAATTTTCGACAAATCTGGTACTTATAAAGCATAACTGTTTTGTTTGCCATTTAGCGAATAACTAATTGAATTAGCAGATTATGCATAAGAGTTTGATTTAAAAAAAAAATTATTTAATATGTAAAACAAAATATTTACAATCATCCATTCCAAATGCATTTGTATTGAGTTTTTTCAAGATTAATATTTTTTCGAATTCTAAATAATATTTCAAATAGCTTCAAACAGAAAAACTATAGGTTCTATGATCGAACCAAACCTCATTTACCGTCTTTAAACAAATCCTTTAACTATATTTTTCCAACATTTCATTTACTTTGGCATTAAAACGATAATTACTAGAAATCTATGGAGCCACTAGATAGTTTCTTATGGAGTCGTTCATCACTTAATGTATTGACAAATGTCCAAAGTGTATTTATTGTTGAACACACGTGTCAATGTACTATTTGTGAATAAGTGTGAATTACTATATAAGTTGTGTCATCCAGTAACTACGTAGAAAAACTGCGATACTTACAATTACTTTTTCTGAACAAATCCTTTATTCGGTACTTGTGGCAAGTGAACACCTAATCCAAAATTAAACTCTTTAACTCAACCCACAAAAGGGAGTATTTTATATGGTTTTTCTTTTTTGTCCGAATTACAGAATTGAAAAGTGGCAAAAAAATAAAGGAAAACGTGGATTCCCAAGTCTTATTCAAAATCCCAAATATATTACAACTTTTTTTTATGGTAGTTGCTGTCCAATTATATCTATCTTAATGAATCATGAATATAAATGCCATGCGCAAATATATTCAAACAATCCGCCTATATGACTTTTTGTGCGAGACTAATATCAAGAATAATAGCGAATATATTCAAATAATCCCCCTTTGACTTTGTGTGTGAGACTATGACGAGAATAATTATAGTATAACATACGGCCCCACAGTAGATACCCCTCGGTGTATAAACAACTATCAGGAGAGAAATGCTATAAGTACATAATATTGTACATAGGTGATGTAGGGAAACGTACGAGTGAGAAGGATAAACGAGATACTTTCTCGGTAAAACCAATCAAATCTTATTTCATTCAAATATCAACTGAATAACACAAAAGAGGATGAGTCCTTTAAATAAGACTCATAAAACTAACCCTAATACTGACTTGTCCAGCAAGACAAGAATCCTAACAAAATAATAAATAAATAAGTTTCCTAACAAATCTATAATACTAGTAATAATCATAATAATAAAGAGGGAAACAAATAATTAAATTAAAGATTTTAAACATCCTTATCTCCATCATTCTCCCTCTGTCGAAAAGGATTGGCCCTCGAATCCGAAGTAATCTCGTCTTCAACTGCTCCACAATCCCGATCGGACCAATTTGACGGGCCGTAAACTTGGTATACTCACAAGCAAAAATTCTATGACAACAACTCCCCAAGCTCCCAAAAGTTCCCACGTACTCAATGACCCAAAATAAATGGTCTGCTGTACTTTGTCCTTTTTGGGCACACGATGCGAGTAATCAGACACATTTGCTTGTTGAATAAAAGACCATGAAAATCCATCTTTCAATTCATTAAAAACATCCATTCCAGGCACAACCTCTGGCCTCACAGATGATTGTACAACCACATGGTACTCGTCCTCCATCGATCCCATAGGTGGCTCCTCATAAAAAACGGGTGGAGCCTCATAATCGGTCGACCCCTCGACATAAAAAATAGGTGGACCCGTATATTCAGTCGACCCTTGTGCGTTCACAAAGACCCCTGAAAATTCGGGGATATCGACTTGGAACGATGACTTCCTACACCGATCGTCGTCTTGTTATGCCTGTCGGAAGCCGAAGGGGTACCTCCGACAGCAACTCTTCGCCATCGTCCTCGCCGTGCATCAGTGTGGCGTACGCTGATGGGTGCCCCGCCAGGCCCTCTTCCGCCACGACTTCCGCGATAACCCCCGCGACCGCCTCGACCGGCCAAGTCGCGGTTCGTTTGCTTGTCCCGAACCATGGTACGGATAGTTAGACGTATGTCCTCGATCTCCGCAGACAGATCTGCAATCTGACGACCCATTGTCTCGAGCCGGCGGCCAAACCACTCGGTTCGATGGCTCAGGTTGTTGTAGATGGCGGCGACATGCCTGTCGTTTGCAGCATCTTGTCTTCGCGATAACATCGTGAATCGTGTTGACTTCTGATACCAACTGATCTAGGGAAGCACACAACATCTTGTCTTCGCGATAGCATCGTGAATCGTGCTGACTTCTAATGCAAACTTATGTAGGGAAGCGCACGAGTTTGATGATATTAATGAGATCGCAACCTCAAGAACATTTAAACACAATATCAAATTAATCATATTTTCATTGAATAATTCATAATCAACTGAATAACAGAAAAGTGAAGAAATCCTTTAAACAAGACTCCTAAAATTAATCCTAATAGTAACTTGTCCAACAAGATAAAAATCCTAACAAAATAATAAATAAATATTTGGTAGTGCATTTTTTTTAAGGATTCTGCAGAGTTGTGAATTTTTATTCTCATCTATTTGGTAGTGGTGAAAATTAGTCTCGTAGGTTCATCTTTAAGCCATTTGAAAAAATTATTATTCGCACCATTAAACTCGTGATCATCATTTGTTAACCATGCAACAAATAAATTCATCCAAAAGTAATCCCTTTTTCTCATCTCAATTTCATTTTCATTTTTTTTTTCTCAGGTATTATTATTTCCTGTATATCCCCACTTCCAATGAACTTATAGCAATTAACTACAAGCATCGTGCTAGTCTAATAGCCAAAACTCTGCCGCACACTTGACAGCATAAAATGCAGATAAAATCTTCAAAACTAAGTGAAAAAGGAAAAAAAAAAAATGAAAAAATGAGTACTGACATTGTAACAGCCCCAACCACAGATTCATAGCGACCAACTTGACCGTAACATCAGTGCAGGAAACTGGCATTCCCCATCCTTCACGTACACAACAGCCGGCCGCAATTTGAACTTTCCACCAAAGCTCAAATTCAAAAACGACTCGACCTGCAGATGTTCTAAAAAGCTATCAAGGCCACACGACGACCCCCCAATGCTCAAGCCCCATCCAAACTCATCCTCAGGTGTATCACACACACTTACCGCCCACTGTAAATTACTCGGATTTGAATTTCTCTTCTCTATCCAACCTCCTATTCTCATTCCTTCATCAATGTCGGAATTAAACATCAAGGCTATGGACCCACCTGAGTCACTTCTTTCAAAATCACTCGGCCCGTCTTCTTCCGTTAATGCCTCCGAAAATCTATTCCGTTTAAATACGCTCACAGGGAGAGAGAATGCCCCAAGACTCGAATCTTGACCTGATGGTTTGAACTCCTTGTGCACGCCCACAAGGGAAAGCTTTGTGTTTTTCGGGAGTTGCCAAACAATCTGTCCAAACGTGCTCAAGGCACGTCCAATCCCACTTGAATTGACTTGGAGCCCTATACCTGAAACAAATTGAGCTAACGAGGCTGCCACGTTTGATTTCCTCACGGTTATGCCAATGGCGCTGCTGTTTTCTTGGTTCAAAAGTGGAGGACCAGATTCAGAATAAGTGGTAAGGCCCATTTCCTGCAAATTAATAGGGGATGATCACAGAAGACTACGTGAGGCTAGCGGTATGATATGGAAACACCAGCTGACTTGGGAAATGACGAAAGCTACCCCTTACTTGATTCCACCTATATTTGTCCCAACCGTGCAGAAATCTGCTGATGTCATCAAATTTTTCATGACCACGCTCCTCGACCTTTTGAAATATTACAAATAGCCCCCATTTTTTGTCCAGCTATATGATACTTTTTGAAGAAAATGAAACTAAGGGATGTAAATCTAAAATGTAACATGAGAATTATATGCAAGATTTGAAAGGATAAGGATATAATTATAATATATTTGATGACATCAACGGTTTCCAGTAGCTCAGCTCCACTAACAACTCAAGAGTGTAGTTAGTAATTTTTCAAAGTAAGCTCATTTTTTTCTGTAATTATCTGTAATTTGACCAAACCTAAAGGATAGTTTAGTAATTATAACAATTTTTTTGAAAAAATACCTGGTGAGAACTCAACGGGATTCCAACATCCCTGCATTGTGCACCCAATGGAACTGCAATAGCTGAGAACCAATTGTTCACATGAGCTTTATAAAATACTTTCGAGAGCGAAAGTGATCCACGCGATATATCACCACCCCGACCCTTTTCACCGGCAATAAACTCTGCCAATAGTGTGTCTCTTTCCCGAATGCTGGTTTCAAACGCAAGCCTTGTATCAATGCCTGTTTTGATGCCCGACTTCTGAACCGCGTCATATTTCTGATCATCAACACCATCCACGAAAAACAATGCTCCCATCACATCAACTTTACCTCTTACATGTGTGCTGGCTTCTTGAAATGGGCTCCCTTTGGAAGATTTATAGGTCAGCAACCTCTCGACCTTCTCTTGCCTGTCTCTGAGTTTCATGATGTCTGAAAATGCTTCTCGTTGCAGCCGCTTCAGGATTTCAGTCTGTAAATTCATCATTCAAGTACTTGTAAAGCAACATTAAGTACCTTGTGTTTATGCATAACGCAACTAACTTCTCCAAATCTCTAAATCCCCATCGCACTTAAAGAGAAAGTACAATAATCATCACCGCTGACAGTAACAAACAACCCTCTTATATATTGACATTATTTGTCATGAAGAAACAAGCAGAAGTGCTACAGACTTCAAAAGTATTACTCCATTTAAAAGGTTTGTGGTAAAAGATAATATTCAGCCACATTGCATTCACTCAATGGCACTATGCCAACCAACCACACACAGGGGCAGCTTCGATGCACCTGTATCTTTTCTCAGTTCAAAGTAACTTACCAATTCTTCTTTTACAAAGGATTTCATAATTTGCAAAATAAATACTCTATGAAACACTTGGTTAACTTTTTCACGATAAACTGTAAAATACTGATATAAGCCGCATCAGGTCACCTTCAAGATAGAACAGTTGAACTATCAGTCATTGCACAACCAAAAGCAATCACTAATGTTAACTATAGGAAAATGGGTCTAAATAACTTTTCAATGGCAATTAAGCATTGCAGCATTAAATAATGTTTATCTAGGAATATTAAAAGAAAAAAGAAAACAACAACTAAGCAGAAAATCTCATTTTCACAACTCATCAAACACGTCATATGATAGACATGAAAAGGATCACTTTTCCAATAATAAAGTCATCAAATCACACATACTAGCTATCACCGCATATTCTTTTTTCAAGAGCGAAAGAAAGTTGAAAACAGTATGAATACCGGACTGCGATGGTTGGGTTTCTGGAGCCAAACAAAGAGGCCCTGAGCCTTGCCCTGTGCTGACTGAGCAAACCCTTTCAGCTTGTCAACCACCGAGGTCTCGGACACCATTGCTAAATCTAGAACCCCACCAAATACTGCGCACCTGTAAAATGTAAAGCACAATATGCTAAAACACCATATCTTTTATGACATTTGATCATAACTGCCCAATTTATAGTATTCATGATGAATCACATCATTCTCCTTCTCGCAACTTTTTAGCAGATACAAAGCTGGACGTAGAAGAGGTGTAATGCCTGGACACGAGGTGAACGTGATAATTCAGTTTTAACTTTTAACACAATGCTGCTATTTCACTTAACTAACATTATCCTTTATCGTTCAAAATTTATACATTTCAGCAAACAATGTGGTTGATGTTTTACAGACTTGAATATACAATTCCACTATTAGCAGTGAAACGCATAATCATGGTGCAAATACTCGAGCAACTGAATGGAAGTGCAATCAAACCAATTTGGAGTCACCAGGATTCCAAATGCTTGTTAGGTGCTGCAAAGCAGATGGTGTTACTAAGCAAGAAAATCGAATATGTCTTCTCCAGAAAACTTTAGGTCAATGCTTGGCATTTACTTGTCCTTTTTGTATTTTTTTCTAGAAAAGCAAGTAAATTTCTCTTTTCTTCAATAAAGTAGAATTTCAAACACATAACAGGAGAGCAAAGGGCATGAGTAGGTGGCCGGTGAACAGTGAGGCTGAAGGTGGGTTTGTGATGAGCAGGACAAGTCTCATTCCGAGTTAACTTCAGTTACTTCATTCAATAAATCTTTAATCCAAAAAGAATTAACATTAGAGTTTGTAATAGCTATAAAGTTCTAAAATTCCCAAAAAACATGCATTTTTCATTTGAAAAAAGATTTATCATATAACTTGTGAGTTGAGCCATAAAATACTATGTCTCACACCAATCACCAACCTTGTAGATTATTCTGCGAGCTGCGATATTCAAAAAGTTGGGCCTTCAACTTGCCATTGATATCTACTCTTTTTCCACACGAAAATAGATAGTATGTTTATCTAAATATTATATGTATTGTCATCAAAGTCCATTTCAATGCAAGAAATAATTTACTAAATGCTGCACAACTTGTGAGTCTAGAGTAAAAAGGACACTAATCAAATATTCACAACCTAATTTTAAACCATTTCTTTGCCAAGCATTCAACAAATACAAAACTAGAGAAGCTTATGATTCATGTAGTAATTATTTGAAAACCTCAGCACGAGAACACTCACCTCCAGCTCAACAACAACTAAAAAAATACTCTTTACACGATTGTACAAAATTAAAAAATTAAAGGATGAATATCGAACTTGGGGAATGGGGATTCAGGATTTGATGATTAAGCCTTAAATAGAAGAAGCCAAGTGGAAACTTAACCTTCAGATTTGATAGTGAGACCAAGGTATTGATTGCTGGTGTTCCAAGGGGGCGCAGGAGACACGACTGGAAAATGAACAGCGCTTTAGTAATCAGTAGTAGCTTCGTAGAACCTTCCACTTCTACAATGGCCGCGTCGCACCTCTCACCAATCCAAGTTCTGTTCGCCGTGGTGAGGGGTTTGGGCTCGTCTCTTACCAAACTATTATTACGTCAAATCTCCGGTGTTCATCGCAATTTGAACGTTTATCTTTATGTTTTTTTTAAAAAAAAAAATGTGTATTTTTCTTTTATTTTTTAAAAAATGAGGTCGTCTAATTTTTTGTTACTAGCACTATAAAATAAAATAATACTGCATTAAATTAATTCTCTCTCTATATAAAGGTGAGCAACACTGAGTCGAAATCGAAAAAACGAGCCGAATCAATATATTCAGTACGGGGCGGTTCAGTTTTTTAAGATTGCGGTTAAGGTTTTAAAATTCCGTAAAAAATTTGGTGCGATTCGGTTTTATAGTCAAGTTGTACGGTTTTAGGAAATCCATTTTGGTGCGGTTAAGGACAAAATCCTGCAAACAGAAACCATGAAAAGAGAGGCCTCATAACTTAAAATGCAAGACAAACTTTCAGAAATCTCATGCAGATATGAACATCTTACAAACACTATGGCAGTTATCCAACTACAACTGTTGAATCTCACAAAGCCCAGTGGAGAGAGAGAATCAATTTTAGGAAATCCATTTTTTGGGTACACCACTGAAGGCCACAGTTTCCACAAATCATCATCACATCAGAAAACAGATGCAGATCAGTTTCATCCACATATTTTTAGCCCTATGCCTAAGGTGGATTTTGCCAGATTGGATGGGATCAACCCTAGGTCTTGGATTCTAAAGTGTACTAGCTACTTCAAGTTAGTGAAAAATATCCATGAAAATCAGAAGGTTCACCTAGCTTCTATGCATTTGGAAGGGGAAACTACCTTATGCTATCAAAATTTTATCTCCAAACATGGTGAGCTAACTTGGGCTCAGTTCCCGGAAGTAGTGTCTGCAAGGTTTGAAGAACTTAGAGAATCAATGATCATAACAGAGTTTAACAAGCTAAGGCAGAGTGGCACCTACATGATTATGACAGAGGAAGAAGAACACAACTGCATAAAGGAGAGTGATAAGGAACAAACCTAGGAAGAGAAACAGTTGGAAGAAGTACATGACCTTAAACTCTATATATATATATATATTAGTGGGGAGGATGAGTTAACAACCACAATGAGGGTGCTATGTGTCTAGTTGGTCAAGAGAAACTACACATACTGTTACAACAAGTACTCAAAAAGCATCTTTCACTAAACAATTACAAAATTAAGTACTGCATCTGCAAGTCTCTGAGTATTTGCTGTCAATTTGTCATCACAATTCATAACATCACTGGGGCCAAGATTTTGATATCAGAAGTAAGAATCATCAAGAACTAGTCCTTCTGAACCTCCAACAACATATTGTTACAACACACAAAAAAGAAACGAAAAAAGAAAAAAAGAAAAAAGAAAAAAAAAAAAAAGGAACGAGAAACAGAAAATGCCCAGTAAAAAACATTTCTACTCTATTGAAACAATTTTGCGATTAGTGTACGTGAATTTGCAAATTTCCTCAAAGAATTCATCTGTGCTACTGTGGCTGCTCTTCATCTGAAGAATCTTTATTGCCATTTTCTTTAGATTCTTTGCGTACTTTATCAACGACTCCAGCGTGCTCATCTTCTGTTCGGCATTCAGCGGTGACCTTATGGTGATAACAACCTTCTCAAGGCACGGAATAGCAAATCTCGAGTCCACCTGCAATATTCCAACAATGTTCCCTTCCATGAATACAAAGCACTCAACAAAAGAAATTTAAGAAAAGAAAATAGCTGAATTGTAATTTTAGTATTGTAATTTGTAAGCTAATAGGGACTACCCAACAAAGTCCTATCATAACCAAGATTTACAATTATTGAACTCTTTTGCAAGTTCGCGAATTCTGCATATGACTATTACACAGAACTCAACAGCTATATTACTGAAATCCCAAATATCAAAAGAAGACATGTACAAAAACTAAACGACATTAATTCGGTAATATGGACTCACATTTTTCAGGCTTTTCTTCTGACAAAGCGCAGCAAACATAGCACCATGAACGTCAAATGTATGAAGCTTGGGGTGGCTGTTAAAGAAGTCGACAAAATCAATCTCTGGAAATGGCAGAAGGGTCTCAGAATCACCAGTAAATTCCACTTTCATGTAGAGATGCTTAACTTCACTGGCCATTTGGAGCAATTTACTAATAGCATCCCAGCACCATTGTACTCCTCTAATGGACAATGATTCCAATGCCTCAAGTTTTCCAAAATCCAATGTATACACCCGTCCTGTTATCAGCCAAGAGAATTTTTCAACACTCTCAAATTCATTGATGGAAGAAAAAAATTTGACGGAAAATTCATATTATCTTATAAAGTTATTAAAATTCATTCAGGTCTTTATTTCCATGGCGAAACGTTCCCTAACTATCCATAAAACAACCAAAAGAGTTTGTATTTTCCTTGCAAATACGCTGCATTGGGGTTGGATTTTTAGCATAGAAACAAATACAAACAGAGTTGGTAATTTCAGAACATAGCTGGATTTCTTGTTAAAATTATATTAAACCCCAGTATTTTCTTGATTAACCACATACACACATATATACATACCTATGTGCTACAAAAAGTTCAGGAAAACATTTACAACAAGCAGAAAACATATTTAAAGACTACTTCAGATCAGTCAGACTCAGCTACCTGAGTTATTGGCAATCGAGAGATTCCTCAAGTACCGAGTTTCACGAACCCGAATCAGACTACAACCCTGCACCTCAAGCAACTCAAGCCTTGGTGAGCCAATCACAAGCGAGCAATTCCCAACCCCAAAAAAATCGAGCTTGCAATGCTCCAGGCATGGATTCTCAATCAAGACAGACCCCAGTCCCTCACACCCAAGAAGCAAAAGATGAGTCAAGTTAGGACAGGCATGCAATGCTTCCAACAGAGCACTATCCTCCAGCCTGGCGCCAACTATCTCAAGATTTTTCAAACGGCAAAAAACATCCCATTTTGGGGAATAAATCATGAGCACACCCCAGAGCTTGAGCGACTCCAAATTAAATGCTGCCCGAATGCAGTCCAGTTTCGAAGGAATCTCGACAAAAGTGTCGTGTTCGGTTCTGTTGTCTAAACGGAGCTCGAGGCACTTCAAAGTGGGGCCTGATGAAGACAGCCACGTGGCTAGGCCCACGCTCGAGAATGGGCAGTAGACCACAAGCTCCTCGAGTTTTACTACAGACGAGACCATCCGGCTCACGATAGCGTCAGGGGTGTCTTGGCCAGTGAGGTTGTCGAACAAATTCCGAGAAAAGAATAAACTTTTCAGGTACGGAGTCGAGTCCTTCCATCTCTTGGAGACACAGTTGCAAGATGCCACGTCGCGTGCATGGCTCATCTGGGATAGAATGTATTGGACTAAGGCATCGGGCAGTATCTCCATTGCCTTTTTTGAGTCAAATGGTCGAACACCTGAGTTGGAGTTACAAAAAATTAGAATTCGTTGGGTAGTGACGACATTATACCTCTGAGAAAAAACATCGAGAAGTTAATGTTTGTTTTTTTTTTTTTTTTTTCAAAAACTATTACTGAAGAAAGAGGGGAATTAAAAATCTTCGAGTTACATTGTTGAAAAAGTACATAAATGCTGGAAATTTGTGGTTTATCCTTCAATTCAGTTAATTATGTATATGTGCAGCGGCAAGAACGGCAGATTTAGCTGAATCATGCATGAGGGGCAATCGAGAAAACTAACTACACAAATTGAGGTCAAAATGAACTGATTGTTACAGAATCACCTGAAAAAAATTCCCCTTTCCTGATAATAAATTAGGGGAAGTTAGAGATTTGACGCATTTGTAAAGATTTTGGACAGATTTGCATAATTCAATCAAGAACCCATAAAAATTTTGGCAGGTAGACGCGAATTAATCAGTAAACTCCATTGACAAACGATTTACAAGATATATATGAACTATAAGCAAGATTACTTTCGAAGACTAACAAATGAAGGATGCAAAAACAAGAAAGAAGCTCGCTTGTTGCAAAAACTTACCAATGTCTTTGGTGACGCAGGACAAGAAAATGAATCTTCGATTTACTTTGACGCTTCTATTTCTGAGCCCTATCAGTCACTGTATATGCATATGCCGCCGAAGAGAGAGATACACAAATGCATAGCTATGTATAAACATTAGGATTATGATATATATGTGTCATGTGTGTAATTTTCGTGAATAAAGTGCGCCATACGATAGCCTAGGAGGGAGCTTTTCAAAATTTGAAAGGGGGCTGAAATTTTTTTCACTGTTTTTATATTTCTGTTCGCCATTTTGATTTTAGCTACTGTGTCAGTAAAAGCTAAAAATAATGAAATACGTGGAAAACAGAAGCCCGCTCAGCTTTTGAATTTCTTTAGAAACATTTTTCGACCGTTTGGCAAGTTTAATTGGCTTTAAAAAGAAATACAAAATCTAATTTCAAAAGTTTATTAGAAATTAGAAAAAATCAAAATCATATTGGTATACCTGATTTGTCCAATATTGTTACCTACAATTTCAAACTTTATTGAAATCTATATACATAACTAGTAAATATAAATTTATAATTGAATACACTCAATCACATGCCTAATGCACATGATTTATTGATATTACTTCTGTAGCAAATTAATTTTCATTGAGTACGAGATACATTTTGATATCAGGTTGTATTTATTGAGAAAGATTATTTGGAAATAAAAGTCGATTTCATTTGTACATAAAAAATAATTCCTTAGCAGTCTCATTAAGGATGAACTCTAAGGTCCTTCTGTTATAGTGACGGTTTATCTTTTTATTATGCCTCTTTGCAGTTTTTAGTTGTGATTGTTCCAGGATTGGAGTCCAAACTCTCTGGTTTATGTGCATTAGCCACTGTCAAAAGCTTGGCCTTCAACTCTTGTTTTTGCTAGTGGTTAGTTTAGGACACCTTGGTGTATTCATCTTAGTTTTTGTTGGAAAGTCTATCGGACTAGTTGGCCTTTGGTGTTTGTACAACACTTTCCTTTTGAGTAATAAATTCTATCGTTTCGAAAAAAATTATATATTAAAAAAACTATGTAGACTTAGAAAATAATTAGATTAATGGATAATATATAAATTGAGAAGTAAAAGGAGAACTAGACTCGGAAAAAATTTCATCAAGCCTAGAACCAACATCAAACATGCAATTGTTTGGTCTAAAGATTAAGTTCTTGCCTATTCGCCTAGTTACTCGCTTTCGGTAATTTTCATAACAGAAGTGGTGGTGCAAATGACCTCAACCGGCTCGAAAGACCTTGGATTTGCTCTCGGTCGGTTTAAAGACTTGCAAAACACCATCGAGAGTTGTTCCAGCGTAGAAGCTCTGACGCTCAAGTTAGTGAACAATGATGAAGAAGATGATGAACATTATGAACTGTGTATAGCATGTATATATTAGAACGCGTAGAGTGCCCGAGACTGCATGAACCTTATGAACTGTATATAGCATGTATGTATATATAGAGGTGTTACCTTGTTGTCCAAGACTGCATGAGTGCCCGAGCTACCCGCTCGTACTGCCCGGGTGCCCAAACTGCTCAATTGTGTTAGGCCACATGGTCCGATCTATGTGTCTTTATTTAATTATATTTCTTCTTACCTCTTATATGATGTGTTCATAGTAGTCTGCCTCATTAGATGGTCAATTCGTACTATCAGCTCGACCTTCCTTGAATCAGGTTGCTCTGACCTTCAGCATATAAACTTTGTCTCCTAGGTCGGACCATCCACTTGCAGGCCTCCAGGTCAAGTTCCACCTGGCTAGCCGAGAGCCCTAGCTCGACCTGCTAACGAGCTATCTTCTATGTGAGGTCGTGATCGACCTAGCTAGTGATTCCATGACCTCTGATATCCTTAATGCTTAACCGACCTGTCGGTTTACTCGAACAGATAGGACTGTCCTTAAGTTCAATGATGTCGACAAGCTAGCATTTCAATGAGCGAACCTATAGGGTATACTTTGCTTGTTTTTGTTATTGTATTTGATGTTTCTATAGTTTTCATTCGAGTTAATCTGAGCTCATCTTGTATTTTTTGGTCCATCAGATCAATTTTGCTTGTTTTTGTGTATGTGTTATTTCCATGTTTTGTGCACATTTAATATATTTCTTTATATTTTATTTTCTAGAAAGATGATATACAGATGATTTCGTCAGGTGACCCAAAACCACAAGCCCAAACCTATCATAGTGTGATGCCCTCATTTGCCTCGCGCAGTAGAAGTCGTGTAAGCCTGCGACAAACTCAATGGCTCGTGATCATCTCCATACAAAGCGATAATGCACCCTGCAAAAATTAGGCTTGCCGCAGCGCGGCGGTAGCGTCTACAACGAGGCCCTACACTCACATAGCTTAATAATATTCTTGAGCTTGTGACGATGATTGCTTTGTAACAAACCTCATGCACATTTATTCATCGTTGCCCCACAGACATTCTTTCTAATCTATCTGGACCTATCATCAACTTTTTTTTTCCATGGAGCTTTGGAATTTCAACTATTTTTTTAATTGTTATAAAGTGAAAATGTACCAGGAATAATTCCGGGATAAATTTAGAACAACCAGAGACCACTCGAAAGGGTACACAAAGAAACCACTTGTAAATTTTCTTTTGTTTTTTTCTATTTTCTCTACTTTCACTTTTTTGTCGCTTGAGAGGGATATTCATAGAGGAAAATGCTCGGTTTGTGATTTTTTTCTCACTATTTTTTCATTAATTCATTGAAATTAATTTGTTTGGTTTATTTAATTCAAACATGAGTTAATTCATCCACATGGGGTTAGAGTTTTTTTATTCTTGTCTTGAATTTATGTTGAGTGTGTGATAGTTGATGCTTGTTCAAATTGTTTGAATACCATAATTAGTAGATTGATCGTCATTTAGTCAAGACAGACACCAAGAAGGGATATGGTATCTGATCGTGGTTCGAATAGGGTAGATATGTTCGTAATTTTATTGTCTATAGGTTTATTGATTGGAGTGCTATAAACTAAACCACCCCTCATTCCCTTGGGATAGCCTACAAACAGTCGTACGTCTGAATGCTTGTCCAACTTATCAGTATCCTGCTTCAACACATGTGCTGGACTACTCTAAATCCGAATGTGTGATAAACTGGGCTTGCGCCCATGCCACAATTCACTTGGGATCAAGATGAAGTTCGTTGTATATAATGCTAATCCCAGAACGAGTCTGGTAGATTCGAAAAACTTATCGTCGACCTAACCATCTCCATAAGAGTCTTGTTCCTCCGTTCTAACACTCCATTCTACTGAGCATGCAGCGTGAACACAGTTAGGACTCTACCCCAACTTCCGATAAATAAGTCCCAAACTCTCCCAAGAGGCATTCGTCACCTCGATCTGATTAAAAGTGACTTGATACTCTTACCATGATGCTTCTCCACAACAGCCCGATACTCCTTGAATTTCTCTAAGAATTCGGACTTGTGGTACATCAACTAAACTTATTCAAACCTCGAGTAATCATCAGTAAACCTGACAAAATACTCGAAGCCTCCTCTAGCCTAGATCGACATAGGCCCACATAAATAATAATGAATCAGTTCCAGTACATACTTACACTTACACACCTTTACCATAAATGACCGTTTAGCCATTTTTACTTCCAGGCAGGACTCGCAAGTCGGGTAGTCATTTACCACCATCGACTAAGATGTCCAATGGATACCAACCTTTGAATATGCCTAAGGTTAACTTTTCCCAAGCCTAAGGTGCCATAGATTTTTTTGATTCATTTTCGAAGGTTCTTTTATCTTATGAGATTTAGACAATGTGTTATTCAGTTCCAATTGTTGCAGTGAGCGATTGTTTGGTTTAAGAACATACAAATTGCTTACTAATGAACCAACACAAATGAAACTCTTATCATCACAAATAATAACATTGTCATCAAACGAAACGGTAAATCCGTTCATGAAATGCTTAGAAACAAAAATCAAATATCGATTAAACGTCAAAAAATAAAGGCAATGTCTCAAAACCAAACATCTACTCTTATCAAAACATAAATCAACATCTTCCACTGCAACAACAATCGCCTTCATGGCGTTACCCATGTTGACGGTGATCTCTCCATCCGTTTGGTTTCCTGAACCCCTGCAATGAATTGCAGACATGATCAGTAGCTCTTGTATCCACACACCAGATACTGGTGAATAACACCTCTAAACATATTTCCATGATAAAAGAATATGAAATACCTCCATTTCCCTTCTTGAGGAAAAGGCAACCGATCTTCTAATGTCTAGACTTCTTGTAGTGATGACACCTGCCTTTTGGCTTCTTCGGACCTCCCTGCTAGACCACTGTAGTGATCACGGGCCCAGACAACACCCTGGCCTTTTCAGCAGACTTCATCTTCCTCGTGGACTTTTTAGATCCAGAGTAGATGGCCTATCCTGCTCGGCCACTACTGCATGTGTGTTCCAACAAAACAACCCCTCAGCCTCCTAGAGCTCACCGATAAGCTTCGTTAATGAGAACGACAACTTGTTTATGTTGTATTTCAAGTGAAATTGTCTCCCCATCAATATCGGCCCCTAGGACCTCAAGTTCATTGAGTTGGGCCATCAACTTAAGGACATGATCCCTCACGGGAGTGCCCTCAGCCATGGACGTGTTCATCAAAACTCGCATAGCCTCTTGTATGGTAATCCTAGATTGGTGTCCAAAGAGATCCTTGAGATTGATAAGCATGTCATAGGTGGATCCCATGGTCTGATGTTGATGCTGAAGCACAATAGACATAGATTCCATAATGTAGCAACGGGCCATCTCGTCTGCCTTCTTCCATCTAGCAAACTTTTCCTTCTCAAGCTCAGTGGGTTCATCTGGATAGTTTCCAGAAAGTACGAACTTGTACCCTTCTGCTGCTAGAACAATGTCCAAGTTCCTCCTCCAATCATTATTGGTAACGCAAAACACTCCGACCGGCTTGAAATCGACTTGCTTCCTTCTTCCTCGCTGGTAGAACGCCGCGCTCCTGCACAGAACTCTCACACCGGAGGGGTTTTCCGGTGAAGAGCCTCCGATGCTTAAGTCAGTATGTGTTTGTTCAATTTTCCAAAGTAAAGAATAGATAAATCGTAAGTCACAAGAAAAGACCCACTCCCATATATATAAGAGCGAGATACCTGCCCTAGAAGTTTCCCGGGTTTTGGTGAGCTGTCCTGCCCGCGCTGCCCGTCCGTACACACACAGTGTGCGTGT